TCGACCTATTGGAGAGGTACGAAGTCACTCGACCTATGGGAGAGGTACGAAGTCACTCGACCTCTGGGAGAGGTACGAAGTCACTCGACCTATGGGAGAGGTACGAAGTCACTCGACCTATGGGAGAGGGACGACCAACGGGAGAGGGGTATATATATATATACTATATAATTATATATACTATATAATGGGCGCGGTTGTTCCAACCTAATCTACTTTATTGAATAGCCGGAAAGAGATGCAGTCGACAATTACATTGCCTCGATCTCTCTCTATCTATGATAGAGTTCGTGCAATGCGGTTCTATTATATATATATATACCCCTCCATTAGATTACCTACGTCGGTTGTAGCGATTCCTGGTTATGGCCCCGAGCGCTGGGGAAGCAGAACCATTCATTGGAGAGACAGACCCTGATCAGTCAGTTGCCCGGAACCGCTTTCAGCAGCTGCTGTTCTAGAACCGTTCTATATCTTGTTTTAGCTTTCACTTAACAAAATAACAAAAGTTTACCTTCGACCGATTAGTCGGCTTCTTTTGCATCTTAGGCTAATCGTATTATGAAATGAAAGGAAGGAAAAATGGATACGATACCACAGCAGATCGAAAAGTCGCTAATTTAGCTCACGTATGGGTCCATTGGCAGTTGAGGGGGGTCGCCGCCTACGTAGGGTGCTAAGTTAGTAAAGTAGCCGCCTCCATCAAACCAACGAAAAGATACGTCTATGAGTTTCACAATTCGTTTCGTTACACTCATTTCGTACCTTTCCTTTACACCATTGTGCTTATGATTCTTTCAAATGGCAAGTATAAGTTCATCTAGTGAGACGATACGTATCTTTACGTTCGAGTGCATCCCTTTGCTGCGGAGTAGAGCTTAAGGTTACAGGTTAAAATCTTCTATGGTTCGGTTCTTAGCCTTTTCCATGGAAGAAGTAGGATGAACGGGGATAATCATTGCTATGATCCTTAAAAAGTTGGCTGGAGTTTCAGAGGGAATGCAGTCTGATTCAAAAGCGTCTGTGATAGTTTTGGTTTATTTGATACTGATTCTGACACGGTTCATAAGGTAACAGCACATACATAACCTACCACTTTTCTTTCATACGCTCGTCCTTCAGAAATACAGGGGTTCTGTAATGAAGGATCTAGACTTAGATGGGACAATTCTATACGAACTATACGAAGAAGAAGGGATTCGTTTCAAATGAGTTGAACTATGTCGGTATTATGTATGGGATGGAATTGAAAATGGGTTTGGCTTTGCCTGTAGCTATTCTGGTGGCCATTAGCGCTGTCCATGGTATCAATATGGAAACTACTGTAACAAAAGTAGCTGTAGATGGATCAACTCTATATTGTATATAGATATATAGAGTATATAGGGACACTACTCCTACGGGAGATGGTGACTTACCAGCAGCGGTCAATTTCCATGAGGTATCTGAGCGGGTTCACTGGTTTTCAAATGAGTCTTTTTTGAACCTTTTTCCCAACCCTTTCACGCCTAAACAACGGTGTGCACAGCTTATAATATAAATAGAATCTAAATAAGGTTCCAGATATGTAAGTCCCAGACGAAAGTCTTATGGGCGGAGAAAATAAAAAAATCGAAATTTTATGACAAATCCGGTCCGATGGCTGTTCTCCACTAACCACAAGGATATAGGGACTCTCTATTTCATCTTCGGTGCCATTGCTGGAGTGATGGGCACANGACCCGGCGATCAAATTCTTGGTGGAAATCATCAACTTTATAATGTTTTAATAACGGCTCACGCTTTTTTAATGATCTTTTTTATGGTTATGCCGGCGATGATAGGTGGATCTGGTAATTGGTCTGTTCCGATTCTGATAGGTGCGCCTGACATGGCATTTCCACGATTAAATAATATTTCATTCTGGTTGTTGCCTCCAAGTCTCTTGCTCCTATTAAGCCCAGCCTTAGTAGAAGTGGGTAGCGGAACTGGGTGGACGGTCTATCCGCCCTTAAGTGGTATTACCAGCCATTCTGGTGGAGCAGTTGATTCAGCAATTTCTAGTCTTCATCTATCTGGTGTTTCATCCATTTTAGGTTCTATCAATTTTATAACAACTATCTTCAACATGCGTGGACCTGGTATGACTATGCATAGATCACCTCTATTTGTGTGGTCCGTTCTAGTGACAGCATTCCCACTTTTATTATCACTTCCGGTACTGGCAGGGGCAATTACCATGTTATTAACCGATCGAAACTTTAATACAACCTTTTCTGATCCCGCTGGAGGGTTTGCATCCTTGATTTTGTTGGGTCGGGCCCTATCCTTTGCTCTTAAAGGGTTGGGCCTCACGGGTGGACTTGCCCGGGCCATTGGGTGCCTGGTGCGAGCACTATTCAGTGCCGCCGATGGGGGGCTCTCCATCGGGAGCAGCATGATTCCTCACGGATCCACCAGCACGGGGTTGTTTACTTATACAACCGATATGTTGGTACAACCGATATGTTGGAGGATTCTGGCTCAGAAGGAAGTACCTCAACGGTCAATCAGCCGCTTCCGGGGGAACAAGCTGCTCTTCCTGTTATGCAGGAAGCAGCTGCTAATCAAGCAGCCCCAGTCCCCTATCCCTATCCCCATAATGAATTGATAGGGGGGGATTGTGTGGAATCCATCCAGCGGAGGCTTTTGGGTGGATCCCCCTTTCCCTCCGCCCATGCCATTCAAATGGCCCGGATTGACGCCGAAGACCTCTTCGAGGCCAAGGTAGATATCTGTCGGGTCATGGCGGGTCTTCACCCAGATGGGGATTGGATGGGACGGGGTGCCTGGGCGCTCGCGAATCCTCGTACCTTAACGGGCGAGGATTCCCTGGAGAACCTATTGCGACTAAGGGATGGAGTTGTGAGCGGGGACGCCACAACAGTAACTGCTTTAAAGCAGCGTATGCTTTGGCTCCGATCCGGTGGCGACACCGAATCCCACGCATAACAGCTTCCATCGTGTACAACAACCTTAACCGCACAAGCCTGGGCTGTGGGGATACGAACTATATCCGAAGGAAAGGTACGAAATGAGTTGAACGTAGTTAGAATTGTTACACTCATTCGACTAAAAGGAGAGGTACGAAGTCGCTAGAGAATTCGTTTCACTATGTTACACTCATTCGAAGAGGTACGACCAACGGGAGTCGCTCGAAGAGGTACGACCAACGGGAGTCGCTCGAAGAGGTACGACCAACGGGAGTCGCTCGAAGAGGGGAGTCCCTCTCCCGTAGGTCGAGGGACTTCGTTCCTTTATTATAGATATTATAGACGAGAATATAAAGGATAAAATTCTCGGGCTAAACAAAATCTCCTTTTGAATGGCACGGGCAGTAGCTACTTTATTCAAGTTCTAGATTTCTTCATTTCAGGTCTTTCTTTTTCTGGTGTTTCCTGACGTACTGGAGTTATAACATTTGAATTTCTCTTACATTCTTCGTTCCCGAAATGGATCCTATAAAATATTTCACATTTTCTATGATTATCTCTATTTCAGGTATTCGGGGAATCCTCCTTAATAGACGAAATATTCCTATTATGTCAATGCCAATTGAATCAATGTTATTAGCTGTGAATTCGAACTTTTTGGTATTTTCTGTTTCTTCGGATGATATGATGGGTCAATCATTTGCTTCATTGGTTCCAACGGTGGCAGCTGCGGAATCTGCTATTGGGTTAGCTATTTTCGTTATTACTTTCCGAGTCCGAGGGACTATTGCTGTAGAATCTATTAATAGCATTCAAGGTTAAACATGAAGTTCGAAGTTCTCTTCTTTCTTTTTCTTGGTTGGCAGGGTCAGGGCCTTTCTCGCTGGGCGAGCACATCCGATTCTAAAGTCCTTTCTCCCGTTCAGTTGCTTAAATAAGGTTTTCTAACAATGGCAGATAATGATTACTAATATGAGATGCCTATCTCTCTTTCTAAGAGACTTTCAAGCTACTTTGTGATAACTTTTGATTCTTTTACCTCTTAAAGGAAGTCCCCGGTCTTTTTTATACACTTTATACACAAAGTATAGTGGCTTCCTTGGGAGGGGGGTCTGCCCTTTATTATGTTTTTATGTCTAGTTAGTAAAGAGTCACTCTCTTCGGTTATTTCGCAGTGTAAAACCTTGCTTCGGGGAGTTTTCTTCCCGATTTTGTATATGTTTGATGGTCTTTTTTTTAACGTTACGTATTTCCTTTGGATCAGTAGCTTCGCGATTCACGTTCTCATCCTGCTCCTTTTCAAAAATAATGAGGATAAAGATCCCATTCTTTAAAAGGGTGAAGATGAGAGGGCTTTCTTTATTAAATTAGTTAAATTAGCATGGGTTCTCGTTAGGGAGTCGCGGGATTCTTAGGCAAATATCTCGCCGAAAGGTGGGGAGGTACGAAGTTGCTAGAGAGATTCGTTTCACTGAATGAGTTGAACGAACTCATTTGAAACGAAATGAGTTGAACTATGTTCAACGAAATGAGTGTAACATAGTGAAACGAAATGAGTTCAACGAATCTCTGTTCTCTGTCAACGAATAGTGAAACTCATTCGACCAACGGGAGAGGAATAGATATGGCTGGTAGACCGAAGACCTTCTTGGAGGTCCTTGCCCATTGAGTGAAAGCATCCATCCTAGTCAGAGAGATTCTCCGACTCACTACCTGCGGGAACTTTTCCGCCAGCCCCAGCTTGGGATCCATTACCTTTTCGCAATCTTAGGTGTTTTGATGTTTTGTTTGCATGAAGCAATGAGTGAGCTGTGGAACCAATCTCCAATCCCGTTCGGTAGTATACTTATGAGGATTCGTTTCAAATGAGTGTAACTATGTTCAACTCATTCGGACCGCGTTCGTCTTAGAGCACCAGTCAAGCTCATCACTAGGTAACGAATGAGTCGAAACAGATGGTGATCAGAGGTGGACAGCTGGTGGAGCAAGGGCTGAGGCTTTAGTGTTTCAAATCCATTAAGCAGAATCTAGGGCTGCCACCCTTTGATCGTGCATCTTCCTTACTGCCTTCTTGGGGCATTCTCTCACAGGCTGCATAGATTTGAATAAAAGGACGCAGATATCTACACCTGTTCTGTAAGAAAGTATTCTTCAACGAGCCAGTTCTGAGGTAAGGATCTCCTTCTTGCTATGGAGGATGTGTTAGAGATTCCTAAGCAATAAGAATTCTATCTACCGGACCTTCCACTCCTTCTTGAGAGAGCAAGGCTTCAACTCCCACTCCCTATTGATGAAATGGTGCTTGCCAACCAGCTGGATTAAGGGATTCACGCACAGGCTCTCTTGCTCCCGAATACGATTTCAGGATCCACCTTTGGTACCGAGAACAAGCTTGGCAGCCTTGGTGCGCTCCCCAGTTATATTCCTGTGGATGATAGCAAGCAAGGAAGAGCGAAGCTCTTCTCCCTTTCTTCAGTTGGTTCGGGACGCATTACGATAGCTAGGCCGGGTGGGATTATCTATCGGATGGAAGTGGATCCTTTGCCCCTGACCTATGAAGTTCGTTTCACTTTCACTTAGAGTTGATAAACGAAATTCGTTGACAGAGATTCGTTTCACATAGTGTTGAACTATGTTCAACGTTTGAAACGAAATGAGTTTCACATAGTGAAACGAATTCTCTAGTCACTTCGTACCTTCTCTTCTGCCATACTTGCTCTATACATTATATATGTCCTAGGGGTGTTGTATAACAGGTATAACAGCTTGCTGCTGATCCCATTCGCGCATGAAGGCTACTAAGGCGTCAAACGACCCTTTGGACGTTCCCCTCTTCGAGCGACTCCCGTTGGTCGTACCTCTTCGAGCGACTCCCGTTGGTCGTACCTCTTCGAGCGACTCCCGTTGGTCGTACCTCTTTCAAGAAGTTCCAACAGAACGAGCATTCGCTCTACTTCTTCTTCCCTCTTAAAGCTGCCGAATATAGATGGACGGAAATTCGACGTTTGTTAAGCTGGTCAAATCTTAAGATCTTAAGAACAGGATAATAGATAATACTTGGCCTGAGGGTGATGGAAATGAGTCCCCAGGGACTACGACTGATGGAAGACCCGAAGACTCTCTNGTTGGTCGTACCTCTTCGAGCGACTCCCGTTGGTCGTACCTCTTCGAGCGACTCCCGTTGGTCGTACCTCTTTCAAGAAGTTCCAACAGAACGAGCATTCGCTCTACTTCTTCTTCCCTCTTAAAGCTGCCGAATATAGATGGACGGAAATTCGACGTTTGTTAAGCTGGTCAAATCTTAAGATCTTAAGAACAGGATAATAGATAATACTTGGCCTGAGGGTGATGGAAATGAGTCCCCAGGGACTACGACTGATGGAAGACCCGAAGACTCTCTAGGAGCAGACCCAGTCTTTCCTTTTGATCGGGGATTTCCCAAAGGGCAGACATTTTGTTCCTCTGCGGCCTATGGTTCTGACTAGCCCCCGTTCATCCATAATATCCCATACCCGAAATGTTTCAGGAATGGCAATACCTTTTCAATTCAAGTCGAGCCCGACTCATCTTCTCTTCGTCCTTGACCTTAGTTATAAATTGGTGTAAGATGGCTAGAAGCCTGTCAGAACGGATACTGGAAGGTCGAAAGATAGAAGAAAGGCCGGTATGAAATCCTCTTGCCGCAAGGATCGGAAATGACTAATGCACGGAGTTGGATTCCCATGGTTATCTAAATGATCATCTTTGGCGAGTGGGAGTGTTTGCGACCAAAACCTAGTCTAAAGTGTTCAATGCTTATGCTTATGTGAAAAGGATCTTAGGGGCTATCTTCTTTTTGAATCCTTCTCTTGATTGACTGTGTCACCTTCCTTATCCTCTGGAGTCGCATTGGTAAGGATTTCGAGCGTCAAGCATAGCCGATCTTTCCGCATTGTACTATCGAAGAAGGAATAGAAAGGTAGGGGAAAAAAGATTAGCTTTCCTCTTATAGCTTATAGAGTCATCTTCAAGGCCAGCCAAGCCCTTGTTGAATTTCATTCTATTATTAGTTCTATTCCATTCCTAAGGCAAGGCTAACAAATAAGCTAACATGCTATCAGTCCTACCAGATACTCCGGATCTCCTGCTGTAAGGAGCTAACAAGCCGGTGCAGTAAGAAAATGACATCTCCATCCAGTTTTAGTTCTGCTCAAACTGGGAGAAGGCCCACTAGAAATGTGGAATAGTACCCGCTGGAAGACTATGCGCGTCGCGTATTTTATCTAAACTAAAAAGAGCAAAAAAGAACATAACCTCCGATACGATAAACAGAATAAAACCATATCGATCGAGGTTAACTAACAACTCGGAGCTGCAATTCGAAAAAGGCTGCTCCATTATGGCCAAGATCTTTCCATATAAAATATAGTGCACTCTGAGTTCGTGGATTTGAAAGCAGGGGAGCCAATAGTCTCTTTTTGTCTGAATTAAGACCCTTTTTCTAATACATACACTTCCGTACCGTATTTTAAATCCCCACAGTTCTCGGGTTCCCCTTGTTTTCGGGAAAGAGGGCAACCCTACACTAAATCTGTTTTTAATATCAGCATAGCCGCTCTTTGCATTGAATAGGTTGTTCTGAACCTGACTTAGCTCTAGAAAGCAGATTCCTTCTTTACTAAAAAATAGAAGGACCGTAGCTTAGTTGAACATAGTTCAACTCATTTAGGCGAAGATGGTGAGTAAGGATGAAGCAGGGGCTTTTCGTTTTCAAATCTAAGGAGAGAGAAGAACCATTCATCAAGTTTATATTGAGTTTATAGAGTAGGCCACTGCGAAGCTCGGTACGATTGAGGAGGATAGCGCTAGGGCGGACCCAAGACGGAGTTATATGCCGTACCTTCAGACTTCCGTAAATAAACTGACTCGGTCAGGTGATGCGAGCATCTTTCATCAACTATCCAATCGGTTCTGTCCTTACTGCTCGAGGTAGACGCTGGCCATCTTGACGACTTATAAGACTTATAAAAAGTAAGTCTAGTATACGGAGGGCTCTCATCAATCGATGTCAATGCAAGGTGCTCGACGTAGGATAATAATAATAAAAGGTGAGGTACAGAGAACAGAGATTCGTTTCACATAGTGAAACTCATTCGAAGAGGTACGTAGTCGCTAGAGAATTCGTTTCACTATGTTACACTCATTCGAAGAGGTACGAAGTCGCTAGAGAATTCGTTTCACTATGTTACACTCATTCGAAGAGGTACGAAGTCGCT